TCTGCTCTGCGCTCTTTAAAGCTCGATACGAGTCAGACTCGCCTTCGCCTTCCAGCCTCAAAGAGCAACTTCGCAAGTTGTTCTTCAATGAGCGCGATGGGATTGGGCCGATGGAGGTGAAACTGTGCGGCGTGTTCAAGGCCGACAACTCCTCCTCCTCTTTCGAGCCGGGCAGGCAGGAAGACGCGTCCGAGTTCCTCGGCTTCCTCTTCAGCCAGCTTGCCGCGCTGGAGGACGACACCAGAAGACAGCGTCCAGTCAAATTATCGTTCGGCGGGCTCCGATCTTCATATAATCTGTGCCAAATGTGCTCTGCCACATATGTACAGTGAGTCGCAGCACGAGGCCTTTATGTGGTTCCTCGACTGCGAGGGATCGGAGTCCGAGTCCGTCGGATCGATGGTGGCGCGTGCATGGGAGTCCGAGAGCGCCGAGTTTCCGCACCAATGCACAGTGGTCGGGCTTGTATGGAGCCGCGTCCATATATACTTCTAGATGTGCTATCGCCATGAAACTTTTACCAAAAATCTAGATAAATATTATAAATGTATGTTATACAAATTGGCCAGATCGTATCACTATATCCTATATCTTCCATAGGAACGATTTTCTCATTTAAATGAGAGGGCAATCAAAAATTAATTTTTTGTAATAATAACAAGTTTGTTTGTTTACCGTACGATATTTACAAACTTAGAACTGCAATATAAAAATGTGGGAGTGATTACTGAACTCCACCAGCACAAAAAAAAATTATAAAAAACAAAACGAACAATAATAAGATTTAATATCATTTTAACATTTTTTGATCGAGTAGCGAAATAGTTGACTCTAAAAGAGTTGACTTTTGGTTATAACTAAGTTTTTTGTCCATAAAAAAATCAGAACTTAAAAGCAATCTGTTAAATAAATCTATATTTGCTGTCGAATTATTAAATATCCTTACTTTTTGATTCAGCGGCTCCTTTAAAAAGCTTTCCAATCAAAAACCAACCAAAAAGTGTGGTAATATCACATTATTAAAGGCAAAAACAGTATATATACATAAATCGAATATCGATAGGTTTTTGGCATTTCTGGATTATGCGGCCTTACTATTTGTTTTATACTATTCTTCCTCTTTCTACTTGGTTCCTTGTTCAATAAACACGTGTGTCTGCTATCCGCTAAAATATCTGCAACAAAGTGTTTCTTTATTTTTTCTTACTGGATATATACAAAAACGATAAGACAAACCAAGAAGATACTAAGGAGTAATATCTGTGTTCCACTACTAAAAGGCTCTGCGGATCAAGCTGTTTTCTACAGATTTTCTACAAAAAGCTACAAAAGAAAAAGCAAAAACAAGCTACAACAACAGCAAACACAACAAAAAAGATCTTCCTCCTAGAAAAAGGTTCTAAAATAAATCAGGTTAGGTTGCATTTTGTAATGCCACAAGTGCATCGGCACCTTTCGGCAGCTGGACAAAACATTTTTATAATCTTGAAATATTAATAAAAAACAGGATATAAACATCATTGGAGGGTAAGCGGGGGAAAGCACTTAAAACTTTACCTAAAACATTGTAATCCACAAAATTTACGAACTAAATATGACGCACACTTTACCACGTATTTACGCAACACGCAGCAGAAGTTATTAATTCATGTAAATGTATAAACAAAGTATATACCGTTATGAACAATATCCATTATATACAAATGGGGTTAAACAGTGCTTTATAATTTATTATAATTTTTTAAATTCACTCCGTTGCACTGCACCGTTGACAAATTTCAAATAAGCACGTTCTTACACTTTGCTTTCCAGTGTTGGAAAGTCCCGTTAGACTCCCGGACAATTAGCTGATCGTATAACCGGTTTTCGCTGGAATATCTCAAAATCAATTTTTTAATTTTTGGCCTATGGCAGCGACCACTGTGCGATGTGGTCGTGAAGTTCAAGGTGTACGCAGCGGTGGTCCACCGCGGAGAGGCGATCCACTCAGGGCACTACTACGCCCTGATCTCTCTCGACAAGGGGAAGTGGAAGAGGGCCGACGACGAAGACGGTCTCCTCCACTTCGGTGGAGGCGCTTCCAGCCTCAAGACACGGCGTACGTACTGTTTTACCGCCTGACGGAGAGACAGGACGGAAGCGGAACCAGGAAGTTTTATTATTCTGAAAGACCGGTAGCAAAGCACTAATAATAAACTGTTCCAGTCATTTTCCACCCATTGCCGGGGATAATTGAGTTAATATGTTATCGAAAAAACAACAACTCTATTTATTCAAACTGGGTTGGGTGGGGAGAATCGGTGACAACTATATTTGGTATGACCAAGGTCTTGAAAATACCTCTTAGGCATCGATAGCAATCGATATCGATATCGATATCTTACCAATAGGAAAGTGAATTGCGACGCAATTAAGCAAAATTATGCCCTCTGCTCATTATGGACGCGTCGCGTTTGCATCCATTTACCGTTTAACGCGCCCAAATCCCATACAAAACTTGTAGGCGAGGAGTGAGGAGGGGAGGGTGGAAATTTGTCGCGTTACAGGGCTGGAAAGTGAAATTTGTGGTATATTTAAGCAGTATTAACCAGGCATGAACATTTTTCTGGACCCGAAACTGATAAGAGGCTGATAAGAAGCGGGAAATATTAAAACCATTTATTGTTGATATTTACATGAACTTTATTTCGTATAGATTGGTATTTGATATATGATATATGCCAAATGATCTGGCAATAGTTCAGAATTCCGAGGATAATCCAAGCGCATAAAGGGCAGTAGCAGTTCGTTTATCCAATGGAATGGCTCGGCTAGAAAGGATCGGAAGCGAAATATTGGTCGATGCAGCGCAGCCACATGGGCTTTCCCATCTCCATGATCTTGACGTTTGCTTCGCGTGCGCCATTCGTCCATTAAGGCGACCTCCTGGTTAGACCGTAGATGGCCATTCCATATTCCAATGACACACGTTGACAGGCGACTGCTGGAAAAGGGCACATCCCTCTTTCTTGCGCACAATGTTCTTGTAGGATTTCTGCCCCGTATCAGATTCTGTTCAGTGACGTGCCGCCGCAGAAGCTACTGCTGTCGCGGGTCGTGTCAAAGAATTATTTAAATGACTGATCAGATCTATATATATGAACGTCTTCTGCAGCAGATCCTTTTGCTTTCTGCCGTAATAAATGCTCAAGCAGCGTAACGTGGGATGTTGTTGCTTTCATCATTGCAGCAATGTTTCCACGTTCAAATGCTGTTCTGCGTTTACAATTATCAATAACAAATTATTTAAATCCATTGTTTACTTCAGCTCGCAAATGACAATAGCACAACAGCTGTTTTCAGACGCGTTTGCCAATGGAAACACCTCACGTCCGCCTATCGCGTTGCCAATCGAAAATACACAAAAATACCGAAAAAACCGCATAGTGGAAAAATGCCTTTAGCAGCATGGAGTTAGAAGTTGTGAAAACGGTTTTCTTCAAGAATGAAGAGCAGTTAGAGATTGCACTTTCGATTTTGGAGGAGCTTAAGTCGAGGACGCAGGAGGAGATAACCGGCGAAGTCGAGTGTTTTAAAAACCTTGCGATACTCAGGGAAAGGGCCCATTTTTCCTACAATTCGATGAACTGTTCCTAGGAAGATTCAGAATGTTCAGTGTGCTGGCGACGACGGAGGACTGCGAGGTGGTTTTGCCGGTGTACGCCCAAATAGTAAGTCCTGACTCCCCTGCCTCCACATTCCGTTATTTACTATTCGATCTTTACAGATTCCAAAGGACAGGAAACTTCCGCCAGAAGCGAAGGGATTGGCTTCGCAGGTAGTAAGGGAAGTCCTAGTCGCAATCATGCGGGAAATTAGGGCTTTGGGGCTGAAGCCGTTGCTGCTGGGCCTAGTGGCGGACATGTCCAAAGCTCACGTCGCCAGCAGGACGCTGAGCATACCGACGCTCTACGATATGGAGCACTGGCTGGCCAGTGGACCTGGAAAATGCCATCGAATTCTGCCGCATTCTCGCTGCCTTCGCTGTTGCTAGGGGCTCTCCTGCCTCGAGATTTGTCGGGAGTTCAAAGACTAAAACCTACCCAAGGTTGGATACTGAGCCTTACTGGTTGGTCTTCCCCTTTTTTTTTACTTACGTAAAGGTAAAATGACGTAATAATTTAAATTACGTTTGGTAAATTACTTGACATTGTAATTTACTTTCTGCAACTTTGGAAATGTTGCGCAACACTTCCCCTTAATAATTTAATTTTTCAACTCCCCCGCCACGAACTCACTCAAACATGTTTGGCGACTAGCTTCTCAAACTGGATTTTCCACTCAAACCTTTTTCCCCACCCGCATGTTGCGGCAACAATGCTGAAAACATTTCTCATCGCGAACGCGGCCGGCGAACGACTTGAACGCGGCCGAACAGTTTTCAAGTGATTTTCTGAGCGTGCGGGTTGTGCTAACGGTAAAAGAAAATTCATCTGAACTGGGCTTTTCAATACCAGTGCATATTTGGTCCTTTGGTGCGTTTCGGTGTTTTGTGGTGTGCAAATGAAACAATATCAACAATGATATAACGAAATTACCTAACCAAAATATTTAAATAGCCCTGGCAGTTTTATTTAAAAAAAATTAACTGAAATCGTTGTTTTTTAGGCAGTGAAATAAATGAATTATATTGCTCCTGCTAATAGCGTGAAAAAATATACAAATCGTAAAAGCAAATTCAAAGTAAACATTTACTTACTCATTTATTAAAAAAAAGTTTATATATAAATTATTAACAGCTCCCATTGTCTCGAAATCCTCTTTTTTTATTAGAAGATTTTTAGTTTAACTTGTGATCTCGTCAATATGTTAGCGCCGGCTCCATGAAATACAATTTTTAAAGAAAAATCTGATAATTTTAAAGCAATTTATAGGATTAGGAATTAAATCATACTTATCCAATAAAAAATCCCAGCTTAAGCTGACACAAAAATTATCCCTTTTTTATTTACCACAAAATTCCTAAAAATTGGCTCGACAGGAAGGGCTATTAAAAATGAAGCCCAAAACTTTTAACGACTTTTCATTTATGCAAAAATCCCAGGCCGGAGTCAATAAAATAAATAATTATAATAAATAGAACACAGAGAAAGTGGGTCCATAAGCCCACAATTCCGGGAAAGGATTACTTTGTCGCGTCTTGCGTTTCTTACTAGAAAATCCTTTTCGCGCTCAGCTTCCTGACCGACACAAAAAAGTTGCCCATTCTTCACGTCTTTGAGGTTTTTGTGTTTTTTTGCTTCTGCCAGGCTGCAAACAAAGTAAAAGTTACAGCGAAAGTTATTGTGCAACGTGAAGCAAGTGTGGCAAAAAAGAATAAAACGAATGCAACGGCAAGTTTAATTCGATTTTAGTGCGTAACAATCAGTGTGAAAAAACAGTGAGGAAGAAGTCTTACCTGTCTGCGAGCAGGTGCTATTTGTGTGTGCGTTTTCTGTGGAAACAGCAGGAGAATTGTTAAAGTGGATTAGTAGACAGCTCCCTCTCTTCCGCACTGCTCTTGGATTTTTTATTGGATGAGCGTGTCAAATCTTTCAACTTCTGCTTGCCGTAAGTCCTAAAATTGTACACGCCTAACTGTAAAAGCCCCAAATTCACACTTAAATCCGTTAACCAACTTTTCATTTATTTTGCAGTTTAAAAAAATATGACTTTTATTCAACTTCTTTGCTAGATTTTTTCGAAACTAAATTTGCTATACTAAAACTCTCTTTTTTGGGGCTAAATAATTCGTTTAGTTGTAGACTTATACATTTTTTAAATACCGACCAAACGCTTTTTTGAAAGTATTAAAGATGATATATTTTCCCTTATAACCCAAGGAGCAACCATAAAATGGGATTGGAGAATAACCCATTTCCATATTCTAGTAAAAAATGTTATAATTTAAAACCAGCAATATAAATATAAATTCGAGGTATCGCACTCAGATTTAGGTCTCTAAAACACCCAAAGCGTCTCGCCTAGCACTTTTATAGAAAATCCATTCGGAAATGTTGATAATAGCCAAAATCTCACTATGTAAAACCCTTTATTGGTTTACCACCGGGAAATGCATCAATTTTCATGCTAAGAGCCTCTACGGATCGAAATTTACGCTGAAGAGAAAGCAATCAGCTCGTGGCCCCAATAAAGTTGTCATAAATATAACAGATGCTCAGGTCCCAATCTAAATCGTCGTAAAGTGCACACACACAGACGAGGGCTTAATAAGCCTGCTAATCTGAGGTCCACACACACGCACCAAACAGAACAAATGCCGAGAGTTCTTTCATAAGCTCCGAGTGCCTAAAAATGTTCCAGACAGACTCACACAATGGGAATTGCGCCGGAGATGTCGTCGTACTTTTTAAGTAAATTATAAAGCATTCAAAAATGGTTTTTGTTGAATGCGTGCTGAAAAAACAACAAGTATGAAATGAAATAAAGCGGCAAAAGTATGCAAAAAGTCAACGGCAGTTGAAAGAGTCGGCCAGACAGACTGGAGAGCTTGTGCGGCGGCAGCTGGGGGGAAAAGCCCAAGGTACGAAAGGAAATTCAGACAATGTGGGGAATGTCATGGAGTGTGTCTGCCTTCAAGTCCTGTCTGCGTACATAGATGATCCTATTGCCACTTTGGCAACTGTCTTTTCATTGTCCAACGTTTTCAACTTCTTTCACAACTTGTTCTAAAGGCTGGCCAAGTAAGATTTGTACGGTTTAAAGTTAGCGTCTAGTTTCGGATTTTAGAAAAAAAACCGTTGGGTAATTGGTTTTTATTTTACTTTTCTAATGTGCTAACAAAGCTTCTGAAAAAATGCTACTTTAGAAAAATATTTAAATAGTCTAATATTAAATTTTTTGTAAGTAGAAACATTCGATATTTACATTTCGAGCATATCAAATTGAGATGTCGCTTATCAAGTCAAAATTGATACCACATAATATCAAATTGATCAACGTTTTATTTTTTGGGTGTACAAAAATGATAGGGCGACCAAATTGTGTATGGTTATTTTCAGTTCGTAGGCTTTTGTATAGAATTACCTTAAAAAGAATGTCACAGGGCTGACATTTATCGTACACATAATTTTAATTTTGAACCCGAATGAAAATGTGACGTTATTTAAATTCTATTCCTCTATTTAAACTTTTAAAAAAACATTCTCCAAGAAGACAAGGTCCTTATCATTTAAAGTCAAAAAGTAATCTCAAAAAAAAAAATATTATTAAAAAAAAAATATTAAATAGCCGATTTACCTAAATAACAGAAAATACGAACACTACACATGCACTATATACTTATTTATATGTAGGCAAACCATAATTTTAGCGCAAAGCTTAAATAAATATTTTCTTGCACATTAAAATCTTTTTTCTTGTGCTTGGCTTAACGCACCCCATAACCCCCTAAGCCATTACGCCCCAGCTTCAATCCAATTATCGTCTAATAAAGTATTTCCTCAATCTCCCCAATTTTGAAGACGCATTTTACGATTTTATATATAAAGCTTTAAATGCGCTTTAGCACAGATTTTGGTGCTGCTTAAAATATTATTAAAGAAAGCTTAAAAGTCTCAATTTAAGAGTAAATTCTAGGGAATGAGAAGGGATGGAAGGCGATTTAAGAAACGGGATGCTTTTAATGCAGCTGCTTAACGGCAATCCCGAACTTTCAAATCCGGCCAAGGTACTAAATTATGAAACTGCATCCAGCTCCCTTCACCTCCGTGCAATCCTCGCCAAGTTAAACACTTGAAATCTGCCACAAAATCAAAGAGCAGACTCGCAGACCGCCAGACATGCGAACCTTTTCTAGAGTGCCTCACGGGCACCGGCTAAAAACGTCGACGATGAAGTTTTGTGCAAGTTGTTTGGGTAGTCAAGTCTCGGGGGTTTGCTGGGAGATGTCTTGGCACCACCTGGCCTCCTGGTTACCCCCAATCCCTGACACATATTCTGGGAAATTAAAACAAAAAAAACTTGGTAACATCTTGAGCGAAATAGAACTCTACTCCGCTCCTTGGTTGCTCCATTTAACTCGCATTCCCATTTTGCGATCTGGAAATAAATCTTTGAATAGCTTTAACATGTTTTCAACTTTCTTGTATGCCGCTCATGCTCGTCTCCTGGCTTGATTTATACATAGTAAATAATTTATTAGTTGTAGAATTCTTTGTCTCTCCATAAAATGGTTCTGCTGTGTGTGTGGCTAGACCAAATTTAAGTGCCCATAATTTTTGAATCGGTTTTTACTGCCGCTGACTCTGCGGAATGTGCGGCTGATTGAATATTTTTGGACGTTATGGTTTGCTGTATCGATTTTTAAAACTACAGGGCCAAAAACCGTCCGTGGCTAATCTATTTACTAATATATTTGATCAAGTTTGTTCTTAAAAATAATTTAGTACACATTTTATTAATTTCAAATTAAATATATAGTTTACTAAATTTTTTAATTTTGTTTATTTAATATACTTTTCTAACTGAAAAATTAATATAAATATAATTTTGTATGGTTTTTAATAGGATTAATAATTTTTTAAACAATTAAACAAAGTTATCAGTTTTATTGGTTATGCCCAAGATCTATCTTTAAAAAATGTGTGTATTTTGACTTAGTTGTGCTCTGCAATTCAGTTTCTTTCACTTGGGTTCGTAATCACAAATAAAAACCTTATTCATTTTGAGCTTTTCATCATTAAGCACCGCCAATTTCCTCGGTGTAAGCAGAATAACTGAATGAAATTCATTGAAATCGAACTCTCTTCAGTTTTGAAGGCAACGATGTTGATGTTGCGCATGGAAATGGCGAAGATGGAATGACGGTGAAAGGCAGGCGGGCTCCTCCTCCGTCGTCCTGTCCAATCACACTGCCACTTTCGCCCCCTCCGTCATCTTGATGCCGTTTGACATGAGCGCCGACTTCGACGGAACTGTCGGCACTATTTGAAACTTATTGCTCGCTCGCCTGTCAACGCAACATCGTCGAGTCGAAAAGGTGAACGAGGTGGAGGAATTGGGGTAGTGATAGGGAATTGGAATTGTGGATTGGGGATTGGGGAATCGGAAAAGCTGCCAGAGGAGGGGAAAACTAGCCCCATGGGAGCGGGTACCTTCAATTTTTCAGTATTTTCCCATTTAGATGGCTACAAATTTGATCGGACAAGTATTCCAGTTCCCCTGTGCCCATTTTCTGAATTTCCATTCCCTTTTCAGCTTGTTAACTCACCGCATATTTGGTTGGCCTTTGTATGATAAGTAGATGCAACTACCTGTGCGTGGGCTTCAATCATGCGTTGCACTTTCGATTGGGCCTTGACTAATGACGGGCAAACACCATTGACACGCCCTTTTGCAATTGCCCAACTATGGGTAAAAAAAAAACCTAAAACTAAACAAAGAGATGCCCGAGGAATTGCAGAAGTAGTGCTTACCGAGGGGAGATTATATACTTTTTCGGAATAAAATATTACATTACAAGTTTTGCATTTCTTGTCATTTCTAAATAATATTTCATTTTATTTTGCTCCCATCAATTTAATTTGTTTTTGCTGATGAATATCTAAAATGACCTTTTAAGTCTTTAAATCCCCTCTTGGCTAACTCATTTAAAAAATCGGTTAAAATAATTTAGGGGGAGGCTTAGTCTTTTGGGGGTGGGTTCTGTGTAACCGATTTAGTAACGAGCTGATTAGCCTGTAAACTGCGCAATTCGCTATTCTTCTTTTTATCGTTGGAATTTTGTCCGCTTTTGGGCCGTGTCGATGCTGTAACTGACTGACGAATTGATGGCTTGTTGATGGCCTGTTGACTGATAATGATATATGGCTATTGAAATGTCAAAATTAATAAGCCCTGATGGTCGTTTAATGAGCCCGCCATCGTCATCGTTTCGACGGTTTTGCGTCATCAATTGAAACCGCTCCGCGCAAAACGAGTTTGTCTGTCTGGGTGGCCACTTGGGCTCAGTCTATGAAGACTGATTTCTCCATGACGGATTTGATGAGCTGTGAAAGAATATGACTTGGCACCGCAATGAGAAGATTCTGGTAAATACAAATGGAAATAGCGTGTTAAAATCTTACGAAAGCACGGAATTCATGAAATGAAATAAAATCACAAATATTTCTGTAGGTCTTTGACCATATGATTTATTTTGTTCCTGTCAGAAATTAATTTAAAATTTCGCCTATATGAATAAATTTGAATTTAATGAATTATGTTTGATGCTCGGCTGGCATGCGGTATATGTCCCCAAGCTTCCTCCTCTGCTGCCTTTTCCGTACTCTCCTGAAGTACTCTGCTTCGCGAAGTTCCTCCTGATCCCGGTTGTTGGTTGGAAGATCCGTGGGATAGTGGACGCTGCATACGGATTTGGCCTGCTGCTGAACACCGATATCACTTTCCCGATCGCGAACTTCCCCAAAAAATCTTTTCAAAAACCCTCGCTTTTTCGGTGCTGAATATACGGATGATTCTGGACTAACCTCATCGTGGCTTTTAGTTTTAGCTGACTTCATTTTGGATTTCCTTAGAGAGCGGCAGCGCATGAAATGAGCTAGTCTTCG